TGAAACAATCTTGCAAAGACATGTGTCAATTAAGTCTCTATAATAGTGAGAGACGTTTCTCTCTTCAGAAGTGACGGTTCACCTCTTTTTTGGTGCTTTTTATTATTTTTAGTTTTTTAATTACCTAGAAACTAGTGTTTCTAACATTCTAGTGTTTTGTACTAATCATATTCGACGATTTTTCTGTTTGATATTCAAGTTCGAGGCATCTATTCTTTATAAATACAATCTTTCTTTGTATGAAATGGGGATCCATTTTTAATGAGATTTCAAATGTTTGTATCTCTTAAATTGATCTTGAACATTCGTCTTATCTTTTTTTCAAATTTCTTTCCGTTCATTTTTTCACAAAATATATAAATTTTTAAAAACTTGAGTTAATGCGGCCAGGATATGCATAAATTTTGCCATTTGCTGGCACGCAATTATCACTAAAAAAAAAACTATTTTCCTGATATTTGAAATACTAAATCAATAGCAACTTGATGAATCTATTATAAATTGCTAAATACAAGAAAAAAAACAAGAGAAAGTGATGAGAATCGAAAAATAAACGTGATGCGACTAAGATTTGATGCTAACCTATTTTAAATATATGATTATCATCTAATGGTTTTTTGAACATTGACTCGATCTATGCAACATAAGTTTACCTAAACAATATTTTTATATATTATTTTCTTGACTAATTTTATTACGTTATATCCAATAATCAGGTTTATCATATGTCTCTTTGACAAAAAAAAATCAGATTTATTATCAGATTTAGAAAACTTTTTAGCAAAAAAAAATCAGATTTATTTCTATCATACGTCAGTGAGCAGGTAGAAATATTTTGTTGTTGGATGAAGACAAAAGACGTAAATCAACATGCAAATATGCAATACTTTATTTGGTTTGGTGAAGAAAGACAAAATCAATATTGCCGGTCTTCATTTTTTAATTTGATATCATAAGAGTATATTAATGTTCATCTATATATTGGCTATTAAATTATATGAAAGACATCCACAAATCCACACAGGAATTAGCCAACATAAAGATGTGATAAGAAAATAAAAATTCTAGTTAAAAAATAGTTATATCTGTTTTGAATATACGATAAGAATATTATTTC